ATATATATATATATATATATATATATATATATATATATATATATATATATATATAATGTCAATTAACCCACTGTATCAATTATAAATGAAGAGCAATGTCTTTTACATGTGTTGGTGCGATATTTTGTAGTGTGCAATTTAACATAATTCTCTCTAGAAGTGGCCAATGGAAATAAAACAAACACACACAAGAAATACACGTGCGTCAGAGATGAAGTTGCCGTGGACCAACACACACACATTAATTTCATCATCAGTAAATCCAAACGTGAGCGTAAAACCGGGCGTACGAAAAGTTTTTGTGCGTACGCAACGTTAATACACGAGGCCCCAGGAGTTTTCAACCTTTTAGCACGTGCCCCCCTCCAACATACCATAATTATGTTTTGATATACACTCACTGGCCACTTGAGTAGGTACACCTGTCCAACTGCTCGTTAAAGCAAATTTCTAATCAGCCAATCACATGGCAGCAACTCGATGCATGTAGATATGTAGACATGGTCAAGATGATGTGCTGCTGTTGAAACCGAGCATCAGAATGAGAACGAGAGGTGATTTAACTTTAATGTGGCACGGTTGTTGGTGCAAGATGGGCTGCTCTGAGTATTTTAGAAAATGCTGATCTATTTGGATTTTTATACACAACCATCTTTAGGGTTTACAGAGAATGATCTGAAAAAGAGAAATTATCCAGTGAGTGGCAGTTCTGTAGGCACAAATTGGCTTGTTGATGCCAGAGGTCAGAGAACAGGAAACTGAGGTAGAGTTGCAGTTTTTTTTTTTTTTTTGCATCCGGACGGGGTTTCTAAATCTGCTAAAATGTCATCTTTAAACTAAACAACTCAGAAAAACTTTTCTAAATACTCAAAGAGGACAAAATTACATCTAAATTGGCTTCAAAATATTTGTACAGCATTAGAAAAGGTTAATCAACTGTCTTATTTAAATAATCTGCACATTTTATTCTTGTACTTATTAAAATTATTTAAGATATTCATTCATTTTCTTGTCAGCTTAGTCCCTTTATTAATCCAGGGTTGCCACAGCGGAATGAACCGCCAACTCATCCAGCTAGTTTTTACGCAGCGGATGCCCTTCCAGCCGTAACCCATCCCTGGGAAACATCTACACACACATTCACACACATACTCGTACACTATGGACAATTTAGCCCACCCAATTCACCTATACCACATGTCTTTGGACTGTGGGGGAAACCGGAGCACCCGGAGGAAACCCACGCGAAGGCAGGGAGAACATGCAAACTCCACTCAGAAACGCCCACCCAGCGACCTTCTTGCTGTGAGGCGACAGCACTACCTACTGCGCCACTGCCTCGCCTATTTAAGATATTGTTTTTCATTTATCATTGTCAATATATTGATCAATTCTAGTTGGTCATTTGGAAATGTGGCAGAAGGTAGATTTATTTGATAAATCATCTGTTGAACTGCATCCCAAACATCACAAATACTGCAGAAGACCTATTGGAACCAGGATTCTCACAGAAATCAGTCTAGTTTGGTGGAGGAAAAATCATGGTTTAGGGTTACATTAAGTGTGGGGGCGTGTGAGAGATCTGCCAATGGCAACATCAACAGTCTGAGGTATCAACACATTTGTGCTGCCCATTACATTACAAACCACAGGAGAGGGCAAATTCTTCAGCAGGATAGAGCTCCTTCCCATACTTCTGCCTCCACATCAAAGTTCTTAAAAGCAAAGAAGGTCAAGGTGCTCCAGGATTGGCCAGCCCAGTCACCAGAATGAACATTATTGAGCATGTATGGGGTAAAATGGAGGAGGCATTGAAAATGAATCCAAAGAATCTTGATGAACTCTGGGAGTCCTGCAAGAACGCTTTCTATGTCATTCTAGATGACTTTGTTAATAAGTTATTTGGTCATTGCAGAGATGTATGGATGCAGTCCATACTCCATGAGATACATACATCTCATGGATTGGGAGTCATACACAATATTACTTCTTTTTCCACTGCACCATGACTCTATATTCTATACTGTACATTATTTCTGTTAAGTGACAAGACATTTGTCTAAACAAAGTCAGACCTTACTGTCCTAATTAAATAATGAAAATCCGTAACTACTATGTACTTGCATCAAAAAATAAATACAATGTACTTACTGTGTTCCTAATGTATTTGAGAACACTTGTGGTGCTCTTGAGTTGGGATAGGGGTTGGGTTATGGACAGGTTTGGTGGCATGGGTAGGTTTAAGGGTGGGTGAAGGTGTAGGGAATGGTCAGCAGTGTATTTACAAATGTAATTACAGAAGTTAATTACAGATGTTATTACATACCGGTATTTATTCAAACATAAGTACTCAATAAATACATGTATTTACACAATAAGTATATTGTAACAAACTATTAATTCCTGTGTAAGTACATATTAGTTAAGGCCACTTAATATAAAGTGGGACCTGATATTTTATTTTGGTAAAATAAGTGTAATATAGAGACATTTGCCTTTCAGATAAGCTACTTCTGATTCCAAATGATCAACTAGAAGTTATTATTTGTTGTACATAAAACTTGGATAGGCGACAAGACTTTTGTCAGGTAGTTGATAAAAATTAAAAAGATGTTAAATCGCAGAATGATCTTCGATTTCAAAATCTGTTGTGTAGATTGTTAATGAACTAAGACTATGTGTAGTAAACACAGGTGCTGGAGATTTACAGCTGATTACAGATCCAACTTTACTGACAAAACGAGGAAAAATATGACCTTCGATCAATCATGCAGCCCTATCCAGCTTGACTGATTCAGTAAAGTATTTCAATTGGAATTGTGTATATGTAAACGAGAATGTAGTGTGATGGCTTCTGAGAACAAAACATGTTGGGTTCCAAAAAAGACTAACCGTAAATCCTCACTCCACTCTTAATAATTCAGACCCCCTAGTTTTTTCATATTTTTTTTGCAATCTTTTGCAATAACAATGACTGATTTTTGTGGTTGTAATTCACAGAAATTTGTGGTATATATGAGTATATATATATATATATATATATATATATATATATATATATATATATATATATATATATATATATATATATATATATATATATATATAT